CATCATTTCTTCCGGGCTGACGACGTAGTTTTCCTTCTCCCAGTTGCGGAAGCCGTCAGCCAACGGCTCCAGAACGTCGAAGGAGTCGGTGTCGGTCTGTTCGTCTGTTGCGTCGCCGCGTCCAGCGGTGAAGGGAACCGCAACACTGAAGCCGGCGGCCTTGATCGCCTGTTCAAGTCCGACATTCCCGCCAAGGACGATGACATCCGCGAGCGAAGCACCGGCTTGTGAAGCGATCGGTGCAAGAACCGCCAGCACCTTGGCCAGACGCTCCGGCTCATTGCCTTCCCAGTCCTTCTGGGGGGCAAGGCGAATGCGCGCACCATTGGCACCTCCACGCTTGTCGGAGCCGCGGAACGTGCGGGCACTGTCCCAGGCGGTTGCGATCAATTCGGCTGCGGACAGTCCGCTTGCAGCGATCTTCGCCTTTACCGCATTGACATCATAAGACGTCGTACCTGCCGGGATCGGATCCTGCCAGACAAGTTCTTCAGCCGGAACATCCGGTCCGAGATAGTTTGCCTTGGGGCCCATGTCGCGGTGGGTCAGCTTGAACCAGGCACGCGCGAATGTATCGCGGAAGTAAGCTTCATCTGCCATGAATTTCCGGCAGATCTCGTTGTAGACAGGGTCCATTTTCATGGCCATGTCCGCATCGGTCATCATGGGGTCATGATGGACAGACGGGTCGGTCGGATCTACCGGCTTCTGGTCTTCCGGCATGTCGACCGGCTTCCACTGCCAGGCACCGGCAGGTGATTTGGTCAGCTCCCACTCGTAGTTGAAGAGATAGTCGAAGAAACCCATGTCGAACCTGGTCGGCTCTTTTGTCCACGCACCTTCAATACCCGATGTGAAGGCATTTGTTGCCTTGCCGTCCTGACCGGGATTGGACCAACCAAGGCCCTGAGCTTCCACACCCGTGGCTTCCGGCTCGACGCCGATCTTGTCCACCGCACCGCGCCCATGCGCCTTGCCGACCGTGTGGCCGCCACAGGTCAATGCCGCGGTTTCCTCATCGTTCATTGCCATCCGGGCGAAAGTCTCACGAATATGCGCGCCTGTCTTGACCGGATCAGGATGACCATTGACGCCTTCCGGGTTGACGTAGATCAGGCCCATGTGAACGGCCGCGAGCGGATTTTCCAAAGTGGTCGCATCGTCCAGGTTTTCATACCGGTTTTCCGACGGCGCCAGCCATTCTTTCTCAGAACCCCAGTAAACGTCGGTTTCCGGTCCCCAGATATCCTCGCGGCCAAAGCCGAAACCAAAGGTTTCAAAGCCCATGGTCTCGTATGCCATGTTGCCGGCCAGAATGATAAGATCAGCCCAGGAAAGGGCGTTGCCGTACTTCTTCTTGACCGGCCAGAGCAGGCGCCGTGCCTTGTCGAGACTCGCATTGTCCGGCCAGGAATTCAGCGGCGCGAAGCGGATGTTGCCTGAACCCGCGCCACCACGGCCGTCCTGCATGCGATAGGATCCGGCGGAGTGCCAGGCAAGACGAATCATGAGGCCTCCGTAGTGACCCCAGTCAGCCGGCCACCAATCCTGGCTATCGGTCATCAACGCCCGGACATCGGCCTTGACTGCCTCATGATCCAGTCCCTTGGCGGCTTCACGGAAATTAAAATCCGGATCCATCGGATTGGTCCGGGCGCCGTGCTGATGAAGAATGTCGAGGTTGAGCGCATTCGGCCACCACTTCGTGACCGGCTTGTCCATCGACGTGTTCCCGCCGTGCATTACCGGGCAACCGCCCGCCTTATCGACTTTCGCGTCCATTTTCCTCTCCAATTCAGATGTCGGTGCATTGCACCGGCTTACACAACTCCGACCTCGTGACAACAGATTGACAGCGAGCCTTCGAGAAAGGCCAAGGCGCTGCGCATATGCTGATGAGAGGCCGCAGTACGACAAAAAAGCTGTGAAACAAACCGGGCAGCGCAACCAGGAGTTCCCGACAACACGCTGCTCCAGTCTTTTCTGATTCCAAACTAGCAGAGCAATTCGATCAGAAGAAGTTGAATTTCCTGATTGCTTTGATAGGATTTTCTTATGATAAATATCACCCTGAAACAGCTTCGCTATTTCGAGGCGCTCGCGCGGCATGGTCACTTCGGCAAGGCGGCAGAAGCCTGCGCGATTTCCCAACCGGCCCTGTCAATGCAGATCAAGGAAATGGAAGAAGCGCTCGGCGCGTCCCTGATCGAGCGTGGCCCGCGCCAGGTGAGGCTGACACATTTCGGCGAAGTCGCCGTGGAGCGTGCCCGTGACATTTTGCGAGCGGCTGAAGAACTCGGCGACCTGGCCCGTGCCTCCCGAGATCGCCTCGTCGGACGGTTGCGTATCGGCGTTATTCCGACGATTGCCCCGTATCTTCTACCAAGAGTGATCAGCGCGCTCACCGTGCACCATCCCGAACTGGAAATTCATGTGCGTGAGACGGTGACGCCAAAACTCATCCAGGAACTGGGTGAAGGCAAACTGGATACGGCTATTGTCGCCCTGCCTGTTTCAGAGGCTTCCCTTGCCGAAACACCCCTCTTCAGCGAAACCTTCATGCTCGTTCGTTCAGCCAGTGAGGCCAGCGCGCCCCTCCCGAGCGCCGATACCCTGAGGGAAATGCGTTTGCTGCTGCTAGAGGAAGGCCATTGCTTCAGAGACCAGGCGCTTTCCTTCTGCAACCTGCCGTCCGGCCCGCCGCGCGAGATGCTTGATGCGAGTTCGCTGTCGACCCTCGTCCAGATGGTCAGTGCCGGCATGGGAGTAACGCTCATCCCGGAAATGGCCGTCCCCGTCGAGACCCGCTCCGCTTCGGTTTCCATCTCCCGTTTCGAGAACCCCGAACCGACCCGGACCGTCGGCATGGTCTGGCGCAAGTCCAGCCCGCTGGCGGGCCAGTTGAACGAGATCGCGGACATCGTGCGCAGTTCGGCAGAAAGTCGCCCTTGATCTCAGGGTTGAGACAGTCGCAAGTTTTTGTCGGCAAATAGAATTGTCAGCGACGAAACGTCAAAACTCCCAGTACCGCCATAGTACCTGCGAGAGCCAGCAGAACGGTGCGTGCGTCGTCCCCGGCGGCAAAGAGCGCCACGACCAGACCGGCAAGCGGTTGAGACAGATTGTTGAGGCAGATGATGATGCCGGTGGTCTTGCCGAATTCGGCCGGTGGAATGATCTCCTTGCGGAGGGTACGGACATAAATGTTGAACATCTTGTCGAAGCCGGCGATCAGGAGAAAACCGGCTGCGTAGATCAGCGGATGCGCGCCGAGACCCGTCAGAACTGCACCAAGACAGATGAAGGCATAGGCTGTTCTTCCAAGTGTGTTGAGCCCAAGATGGACATGCGCGGTCAGCGTCAGCACGGCAAGGGTTGCAACGGCTCCACCAACCTGCAGCCAGGCATAGGTCTGTTCACTCTGGGCGAAAAATCCCGTCATCATTGCCGCAGCTGTTGCCAGTGTCGCACCGATGATCAGGTTGACGCCGGCTGCCTGCAGGATCGCACGCGTCAAACCAGGCAGTTGCCAGACCAGCCGAAGCGCAGTCGTCAAGTCAGCAACCGGATGCCGGCGCTCCCCAGCCGGTTGTCCTTCCAGGCGTTCCTGTCCGCGCCACATCATGAAAATACCGTCAGCGAGGAAAAACAGGCCCGTCGCCACGAAGACAACGGTTTCCCAAGGCCAGAGCGCCATCAGGTAGGCTGCCGTCAACGGCCCCAGGACAACACCCATCTGCGAGGCAATCTGACTGTAGCTTGCCACCTTTTCAAACCGCTGGTCCTTGAAACCACGGACCAGTACCATTTCAAGTGCAAGCATGCCCTGGGTCGTCAAAATGCCTACGAGCGCAGACAGACCGATCAACCACCAGACCCCGCCAAACACGATCTGACCGGCGATACCGACAAGGCAGACAGCAGCCCTTGCGATACGGCTGATCCGCAAAAGCAGGATCGGGTTGAATCTGTCGCACAGGATGCCGGCGACTGGAAAGGTGAGATAGCGCGGCAACGTTTCGAAGAAAAATGCCAGTCCGGACCAGGCGACGTTTCCGGTTATCTGGAAAATGACCAGAGGCACCAGAAAGAGCAGGATCTGGTCGGCCAGAACCGTGAGGAACATGGACGTGAAAAAAGCGCGGTCACGGACGAGCATCAGGGACTTTCTTGGGTGCGCCAGAGGGAGCGCCTCCTACGTAACACCCGCTTCACGGCGCCGCAAGCCGCAGAAACGGGTCATTTCAATCGATTTAAATCTTTTGAATGTTTTTAAGCTGCAGGTTTTCCGTGTCACGTAATCCCTTCTGCAGGTCATGAGCTATCCGCTCCACCGAACACCGGTTTCAAGACCCAGGCGGACTATTTCAGCCCGAGTTCTTGACCATGCCGACCATGTCCGACAGGCTCTGGCTATTGCAAAAAGGGACCGAGTTGAGCGCAACACTCCACGTTATGTATCCGACGGGCGAAGGCCTTACATTTGATCATGACTATTATGCCGGGCACCACATGAAGCTGGTACGTGACGGCCTGGGCGACGTCGCCGAGAGCATGTCAGCCTCCAGGGGCATTGCTGGTGGCCCCGACATTCCGCCGGGATATTTCGCTGTGTTTACACTCACCGTCGCATCGCTTGATGTCCTGCAAGGCGCGCTTGCAAATTCGCAAGCAATCCTGGACGACATTCCCAATTATTATAACGGCCGACCGACGATACTGATTGGTGAGACGATCCAATGACGAGGGAAAGTACGGCATGAAGGTGCCGCCCCTTTCCTGAAATCAGAGTTTCCAACCAAAGACGTTTTCTGCACAGGTTGCCGAAAGCCGACAAAGCCGCCCCTTTGTCAACTCAACGCGGAAACAGCACGGTAAGTGTCGACACCTTCGTGCAGCGGGCCTGGGTAGTTTCGGGCCTCGAGGATGCGGAAGTGCGGTACCCGGGAACATTTCCGGATCTCCACATTCGCCGCGACGTCCCGGTGCAAACAGCGCAATCAGGCCTTCCGCGCGACGATGAACCTGCTGCGCGGTTCCGGGTACGTGCCGGTTTCGATGATGTCGAACCCTGTCCTGCTGATCATGTCTTCCACCGAGGCAAAGGAATAGACGCGTACGAAGGGAGCCTTGCCGACCAGTTGCATCGCCTTGATCAACGGCACGAACAGCCAGGCCTTGTCCGCCAGACAGACCGTCTTTGAGATAAAGAGCCCGCCCGGTTTCAATAGACCGTGCACGCGTGCCAGAAGGTCTTCCGGATTTTCGACGAGGTGGAGGAAGTTGAAGCCAAGGATCGCGTCGTAACCTTCAGGCGCTTCGACGCTTTCGCTGAAAACATCGGCGGTCAGAAAACGCAGGCCGTCGTGCAACTTGCCCCTGGTTTTTTCGGCTTCGAGCTTTTCGTCCGCAATCCTGATCATGCCCGGAGCAAAGTCCGTTGCAAGATATGATCTGACATTGCCGTCCATGATCAGGGCAGTCGATCCCGTGCCGCAACCAAGTTCGAGCACATTGTCCTGTGGTCCAAGGTGTTCTAGCGTGCGGGCCAGCGTCTTTTGGTAGGCGTCCTCATCCTTGATCGGTGAAGCAGCGTATTTACGTGCCGTCTTGTCCCAAAAACGGGTCGATGATGTCATGTCGTTCGTCCATGCAACTGCCATGGTAGGGCTTTCTCAAAATTCGGGAAAAGGACGGGAAACGTCCGGTTTATTTGCGTCTTCCAGCGCTACCGCGAAGGCCGAGGCGCTCAAGCAGACCGCGGCCGAGATCCCTGCCGCCGGTTGGCGAGGCCAGGAATTCCAGCACGGCAATCGCAGCATTTGCCAGGTGCGAAACTAAAGTGTGCAGGCTCATCTGAAGCGCTCCTTGCGTCCCTTCTAACCTCTCCAAAAACGAATGGAAATTGCCGAAATCTCGCTAGGTGATATACAAAAATGCATGAACTGGAAAAGTATCACCTTCGACTGGAACCAGGCCCGGGCCTTTCTCGTGACGGCAGAGGAAGGATCCCTGTCGGCTGCCGCACGCGCTCTAGGCCTGACGCAACCGACCCTGAGCCGTCAAGTCGCCGCACTGGAGGAAACACTTGGAGTTACCTTGTTCGAACGGGTTTCCAAAAGCCTCGTTCTAACAGAGGCCGGTATCGAGCTTGCCGAACACGTGCGTGCCATGGGTGACGCGGCCAGCCGGATCTCGCTTGCAGCGTCCGGCCAATCCCAACAGATTGAGGGATTGGTGACAATCTCCGCAACAGATCTGATGGCAGCGAACGTTCTGCCGGACATCCTTCGGAACTTGCGCCGCAAGGCTCCGGCCATCGAACTCAAGGTCCTTTGCACCAATAGTCTCAGCGACCTGCGGCGGCGCGAGGCGGATATTGCCGTGCGCCATGTCGAACCGGATCACCCCGATCTCTATGCGCGCAAGCTGCGCGAAGCACCCGCCCGGATCTATGCCGCAAGATCCTATCTGGAAAAAATCGGCAGAAAGCCAACCAGGAAAGACGCTGCGGATCTCGACTTCGTCGGCTACGACAATAATGAAGAACTGGTCAAATATCTGCGGGTCTTCGGACTCGATGTCAGCGAGGCCAACATAAATCTCGGTTCGCCCAGTGGCATCGTTGCCTGGCAATATGTCTGTGAAGGGTTCGGATTGTCGATCATGGCCGACGAGATCGCGGTACGCTACCCAGAAATTGTTCCAGCCTTTGAGGATGTTGAGCCGATCACGTTTCCGATCTGGCTGGTCACGCACCGGGAACTTCACACCAGCCGCAGGATCCGCATGGTGTTTGATCATCTGGCTGAGGGATTGCTCGCGGTCAGACCACCGGTCGTGGGTTGAACCCGGTTCTTTGCATCATGCTCCCGACCACAGACGGTTCATCATCGCGTGCCGGGGGCTTCATGTCATCCCAGCATCCAGTTGAGCACCAGGCGCCAGTCTGTCATGCGGATCGGTGTGCCGTGCGTGCCTGTGTCGAACAGCGTGAAGCGGATCGGGTAGTTGGGTGCCCTTGACTTGATCTGCTTGAAGAAATTGGCCTGGCTTTCCCAATTGTAGACCCGGTCGAGCGTCCCCTGCCCCATGTATATCGGCACGTTGCGCGACAGTCCCCCGGACGAGAGGAAGTTCGGATCCTTCGGCGAACCGAGCAGCATGATGCCGTTGACCAGACGGGAATAGTTGGCGCTCTTCACCAGGTTCCAGCAGATGATGCCTCCCATGGACCCGCACGCCACCACGACCTTTGCGCCAGGCGAGAGTTGTTTCTGTTGCTGGATCAGGGCAGCAACATCGGCTGTTCCGCCCTTGCCGAAATTCTTGATATCGACCGTCAGATATGCACCGCCATTGCGCACCATCAGGTTCTGCACACGGTTGAAATTGCCGCCGAAGGAAACGTCGTTCATGCCCTGGAAGCGGTTGCCGCCCTGGCCGTGGATATAGATGACAATGGCCTTTGCGCCGCCCTTCCACTTGCCGGTCCCCATATACTGGATCGTCCGGCCGTTGGCCTGCAGTTCGGCGCTGCCCCTGCCCCGCTTGGGCTTGTAGGAGACATAGTTGCCGAACACCTTGCGTTCGTCGACTTCGTCCCGGTCACGCAGATCACGCTGCTTGGAATATTCTACAACGATGAAGTCGCCGTCGTAGAGCGTCTCGGAGACCTTCTTGTATCTGAAGAGACGATCCTTGTACGGCTTCAGAACATCGGCCTGCGCTGTTCCTGAACATGCAATGGCAGCGCCCAGCAAGACACCACAAATCAATCTCATCGAGTGGGCAGACATCAATCGGTGCAGCATAAATGGCTCTTCGTTCAGGCAACGCGTTCAAGCAAATCAGTCGATAACCTACGCGCCACGCCTGCGCAGTGCAATTGCGTCCCGGGCAAAAACCGGCGGCCATCGTTACACGGGCCGGCGCCAAAGTCGCACCCGGCAGGTAGCTGTTTCCAACCGGGCTTTGGCTTTGTCAATTTGTTAAATCGCGGGAATTTTCCGAAATCGACTACCCACACTGCGATTAATACGGAGGAAATTCGCAACTTTATCCACACCCTGGAAGGCTCTTTGAATAACTTCCTCGCAAATTGCGAACTTAAGGAATTGGTAACCATAAAATCCCAAGATTTTCAATGAGACAGGTCCGAAAGAGACCGAACCGCAAGACAATGCACGGCAAGTTCAGGAGAACCCAGATGCCAGTCATTTCCTTCGCAAATGCAAAAGGCGGCGCGGGCAAAACCACAGCCGCCCTGCTGCTGGCGACAGAAGTCGCGGCACGAGGAAAACGCGTGACCATATTCGATGCCGATCCGCAAAAGTGGATCTCGAAGTGGTTTGAACTACCAAGGACATGTCCGGGCATCTCGGTCGTCAGCGAAATGTCTCCGGCCTCCATCACAGAGCAGATCACGCACGCCACCGAATATTCCGACTATGTGATTGTCGACCTGGAAGGCACCGAAAATCTGATCGTTGCCAACGCGCTGTCGGTCTCCGATCTGGTGGTCGTCCCGATCCAGGGTTCTTCGATGGACGCGCGTGGCGGTGCCAAGATCCTGACATTGATCAAGAAACTTGAAAAGATCGTCCGGCAGGACATCAAGCATTGTGTCGTTCTGACGCGCACAAACGCAGCCGTCACCACACGCGCCATGAAATCGGTGCAGGAGTTCCTGTCCACCCAGAATATCGACGTGTTGATGACACCGATTGTCGAACGGGCGGCTTTCCGCGATTTGTTCGAGTTCGGTGGCGGGCTTGCAAATCTCGACGCATCGGTGGTGTCCGGTGTTGCCAAGGCCCGGGAAAATGCTGCGCTCTATGCAGCGGAGATCCTGGAGCGGGCAATCACGGTGCCGAAGAAACGCTGGTACAACATCTTCAAGCGCGCCAGCTGACTTGTGATCGCACTGATGCGAGAAGCCGGGCTGTGCCCGGCTTTTTACGTTTGGCCAGTGGTTTGCCTGGCGTGATCGGACTAGTGTGAAGCTGCTTAGAATTGTGTCCGGTCCATGTTGCTGATCTTGTGGAGAAAGTCATGTTGTTGTTTCTTGTCCGTTCAGCTCGGGTGAGTGCAGCCTGCCTCTTCCTGGCAGGGTGTTTCGGCGAGGAGAGCGACGTGGCGCTCGGGTCGCTGGAACGAGACCGGGTGGCTCTGACCGCCACTGCCAACGAGGTGCTGATCGACCTGCCCATTCCGCAGGGAACGTTTGTCGAGGCGGGAACGGTTCTCGCTCAGTTGAACCCGACAGAACAGCAGGCCGTCGTCAACCAGGCGCAGGCCGAAGTGCAAAAGTCGAAGGCCAATCTGCGAAAGCTGCTCAACGGCTCACGCGAAGAAGATATTGCAAAAGCCCGCGCAAATGTCGCCGGAGCGAACGCTGAACTGGTCGACGCAGAGGCCTCTTTCCAGCGCTACAGCAACCTGACGGGGCGTGGCACCACCAGCCAGGCACAGCTTGACAGTGCGCGGGCCGGTCGGGATGCAGCGGCGGCCAGCCTGAAAAGTGCCGAAGAAGAGCTGAAGGAACTTGTGGCGGGGTCCCGGCCGGAGGATATCGACATCGCCCGCGCGGAACTTGCCGCCGCCGAGGCCAGTCTCATGACCCAGATGACGATCCTATCGGACCTGACAATCACGGCCTCCCGTGACGGTGTTCTGGACAACCTGCCATGGAACCTTGGAGAACGCGTCACCGTAGGCAGTCCCGTTGCCGTTCTGCTTGCAGGCAATGCGCCCTATGCACGCGTCTATGTCCCGGAACCGCACCGGGTCAAGATCAAGGAAGGCGACAAGCTCAAGGTCAGGGTTGACGGTCTCGACGCGTCCATTGAAGGTCATGTCCGCTGGATCAGCTCCGACCCTTCGTTCACGCCCTACTATGCTCTCAATCAGTCTGAACGCGCACGGCTGATGTATGTCGCAGAGATACAACTTCCCGACAGCGCGTCCGATCTGCCGAACGGCGTTCCTGCCCAGGTGGTGCTTCCGTGATTGCGCCTGCGTCGGACATCGTCGTCAGGGCTGAAGGGCTGGTGAAAAAATTCAAGAACTTCCGTGCGGTCGACGGGCTCGACCTCACGATTGAGCGCGGCATGATCTACGGCTTTCTCGGTCCCAACGGCTCCGGCAAGACAACTGCCATGCGCATGTTGACAGGGCTGCTGACGCCTACCGAGGGCACGGTCGAGGTGCTGGGCCTGTCCGTTCCAAAGGATGCGGAGACGCTGAAATACAAGATCGGCTACATGACGCAAACATTCTCGCTCTACGGCGATCTGACAGTTCTCGAAAATCTCAATTTCATGTCGACGATTTACGGCCTGCCGAGAAAAAAGCGCCAGGACCGCATCCGGGAAGTGATGGACCGGTATGAACTGACGGACCTGAAGGACCGGTTCGCCGGCAAGATGTCTGGTGGCCAGCGCCAGCGTCTTGCCCTGGCAACCGCCGTGTTGCACGAGCCGCAGTTGCTGTTCCTGGACGAACCCACCTCTGCGGTCGACCCTGAATCCCGGCGGCATTTCTGGGAGCAGCTGTTCGACCTCGTGGAAAACGGTACCTCGATCATCGTGACGACGCATTTCATGGACGAGGCGGAGCGCTGTCACAAGATAGCAATCCTGGAAGCGGGCCAGAAGCGGGC